CCATTCGAGGCGGTTTTTGCTGACTTCTTCGACTATGGGGGCCGCCACTACCTAGTTGTCGGGGATCGGCTCTCGGGCTGGGTAGAGGTCCTATGGCGGGTACTGCCCTGGCGGGCTCAGCTGGCCTGGTCCAACACCTCCGGTCATTCTTTGCCACCTTCGGCGTACCGGAGGAGCTCTCGAGCAACGGTGGCCCGGAATTCAAGGCGAGCCACACTGAGGACTTCCTCCGCTTATGGCACGTCAGACACCGTGTGTCTTCCGTTAGCTTTCCGCAGTCGAATGGGAGGGCGGAGGTTGCGGTTAAGACTGCTAAGCGCCTCTTGATGTCCAACACCGGCGCGTCGGGCAGCCTTGATCAGGACCGCTTCCTGCGCGCTATGCTGCAGTTGCGTAACACGCCTGACCCCGACTGCGACCTCTCGCCAGCACAGATCATCTTCGGCCACCCCCTTCGTGGCTCGCTCTCCTTCATGAACCGCCTCGAGAAGTTCTCGAACCCGCATATTCGCCTGCTATGGCGCGAGGCATGGGCGGCGAAGGAGGACGCCCTTCGGACCCGTATGTCCCGTACCACCGAGTCTCTGGGGACTCACTCGAGGCCGCTCCGCCCATTGGCACTCGGCGAAAGGGTATTCCTCCAGAACCAGCAAGGCCCGAGCCCCCACAAATGGGACAGGTCAGGGATCGTGGTGGAGTCGCCGCGCCACGACCAGTATCGGGTCAGGGTTGACGGTTCGGGACGTCTGACACTGCAACCGGCGGTTCCTCCGTGCCTACACGCCAGCCACACCCTGCGCCCGTGAGCAGTCGGCTGCGCCGTCGCCGCCGCCCGCTGCCCTGGGACACCAGCCCCCACCTATCCATTCGGGCTGGGCGACGCCCCAGGGGATTGCTCAGCGGCCGGCTGTTGGACCCCGCGACTCGGCTATGGGCGCTTCCCCACCTACGCCTGCTGATGAGGTGTCCTCTGACCTCACTGTTCCTTCGGGTGCCTTCCTGGGCGCACCGCTCCCGGTGCCGCAGTCGCCGCCGACGCTGCCCCAGCGTGCTCGGGCGGGCCGCGTGCGGAGGCTGCCTGCACGTTACGAGCCCGAGTCCGGCAGCTGGATACGGGATTTAGACCGTTACCCTATAGCTTTCCGGTCTGGGGGGGAGGAAGAGTTTATCGCCGGCCACTAGAGGGCAGCGTCACTGCTGTCGCTGCCCGGTTATGCCGTGCTCTGACCCGGTAGTGCCGAGCGGCCATTTTAGTTCAAACATTGTTCATTCACTCCGCCTCGAGTTGAGACGTTCGTCCACTCATTCATGTAAGACTGTTTCCACTATTATATTATACTATATATTATGCTATATATATATTATACTATTATACTACTATACTCTGTTTCGTGGTATATATTTGTGTTGATTAAATTGCATGGATGTAATACTTTGTCAGCTTATCTTGCTGCATTACTCTGTTTCAGGGTGTCGTCATCCTTGTCAATAAATTACTGAAACTGACATTGAGGAGTGTGTTTCTTCAGTACTTATGACTTTTGATGTTGAAATATTTTTTTTATATATTTATTTTTTTGCATGGGCCCCTGGCCGGCTCGATAGTTACGCCACTCAGCCCATTCCCTTTTTCACTCTGTAATATAGCTGTGTGATATTTCTGGATTTTCCCATTGCGTTCTTTTCGCCATTATTTCCTAATTACTCTTATATTATCAACCTCTCTCTTTATGTGTCACTCCTCTCCCTTCTATTGCTCTTCAGCCTGACCCATTTCTTTTTAAGCACCACTGGAATATCCCAATACATAAAGAAAGGCCAGTCAACATCACAACATCTAGTGTTGAACCCAGCAGGCCTCACGTCTGTCCAATATCCCACTGCTGCTCTTTGTGCAGCCTTTTAGCCTGCGGTGCTCTGCTGCGTTCAGTTCGCTCCTCAGTGTGTCGAGACAGATTATAGAATAACTAGAGAAGAAAATCACAGAAGCTGACACAGGTGGAAAGACAAGGAGGTTGTAGAAATGAAAGGCTTTGGCCACAACTCTCTTCTTTGGAGCCGCAGGCATCAGCTCTACAATGCCAATAAACAAACCTCTCCCCTTTGGCTGCACTTCACCCTCAAGATTAGTTTGACACTCTGGCTTTTCAAGATAGGTAACGACAGAGAGTGAGAGGAAAGAAAAGAGAGCGGGTGTGACACGCAAAGAGGGCCGTGAGCTGGACTTGAACGCATGATTTCACCCATGAAGCACATGGTAGAAGCTCAGCCAGCTCACCAGCCCTGCCTGCTTCTACATCCTCCTCGTTTCTCTCCTTATTCTCATCCTTCCTGAAATAATCTCCCCTGGATTATAAAAACACTAAATAGGAATAAAACGCCTAAATCCAAATGTATATTTATTTTTAACTGGATCCAGTCCAGGAACAAATTCCCTCAAAATGCCGTTTATTTACCCAAGGAAATGTTTTCCATTGTTATCTGCAATTATGCAAAATCCCAAAGCAGGTGGCTTCAGTTTTTTTAATTCACAGCATTCTGTTTGAATTATGAAGATTTATGTACAGTACTGTACATGTTATCTTGTGTTTTCCCTTCTTAACTAAAGGAAAACATTACACTCACACAGAGGACTCCCTTAGGGCAGATACAGATGGTTCTGCTTTGTGTGAGCAATACTCAGATTAGGTCCAGAGTGTAAGGGAGATTAGTATGTTGTTGTATGAGTTTATGTGTATCTTTAAACCTTTTCATTCTTTGTTTAAGGCTCAATTTGGATTTCTATAAAAACCTTTTCTTAGCAATCATAACATTGTGTTGTCCTATCCGTTTAATCTTCCCACATGTAATACATTTCTCTCACAGAATGAAGACCAATCACATAGATTAAACCCCTCTGGGATCAACACACACCTCTAACCTACAACGCACCGCTCCCCCCTCCCATTTATTCTTATGTAAGGAGAGATTCCTGGGAATTGTTCAGGCAAGGTCGCGACCCCATGTACCTTCTCTTCAGACTCAACAAATTGCCTGCTGAAAGAGCCCAGGCAGTCTCCTGGCTAACACCGTGTCTTCCCCGTGTTCAGTGTGGCACAGAGCAACACATTGTGCCCGGAGAAATTGGACAGATGTGAAGTAAACCAACAGGAGAAATGTATATTCTTAACACTTCTATTGAGGCTTAATCCAGCAAATGTGTGTTTTTTGCCCTTGTTTCATGATGTTAAATGTATTACAGTGCATGACATTAAGGACATTAAGGATTTAGCTTAGATGGCCCTAATTTACAGATGGCCCTGAGCCCAATAGAGATTGCCCTTAAAAATGCGCGCGGACGAAATGACGTACGAAGGGTTTGGGGGAACTCCCCCTAGAACATTTAGATTTTTGCAGGTCTTAGATGCTGTCTGGTGCATTATATAGACTGAATTATAAAATGAACCACCACAATATTACAATTTCAATTGTATTCTTCATTTCACTTGTTTGTGTTTGCTCGCTTGCCCTGCATAGCTATAATAAATACTTAAGTTGTTGGTCAAGACACTTTCCATCTGATGAAGGCAAATGTACGGAGCCCTGGAGGGTTCACAGAGAGAAAAATAAATAAAACGTGCGCACGCTTTATTA